ATCTGTGAAGTCAAAAATAGAAAAATCAAATCTAACATTGGGTTAAGTCAAGTAAATAGCAAAAACTAGAATAAGGTGGATAGGATCAAGTGGAAGTCTTATGCTCCCAACAGAAGTAATGAAAAAAAATGGTTTTTAATATTACTTATTCATTTAAATCCTTTTAATATGCTAAGGATAACTAAAATTGAATTTCGAAATGAATAAATCCATTAATTTATGTAAACCCAAGAATATTCTACATATTATACGTGCATTAAATTAAAATGTTTGGGTGTTAACTGGATATTAAGAAAACATTAGTTCTGTAAAAAGAATTTCAAATAATAACTTCTACCCTGTTTTATTTTTAATTTCGAGGGTGCAGATTTGAACAAATTTGATTTTTGGTTTTCATTTCTCTTATAATTTCAAAAAAAATTTCTAAAATACTTACACTGCATAACACAATCTCCGTATATGCATTTAACAAAAAATACAATAAGGAAATGTTAAAACAGTTACGATTTAGTTGTAAATCCTTTTATTGGTTTCTGTACATGTTATTAAGACAAAAACAAAAAACAAAAAAAGAAAAATTTGGTCGTTTTATTAAATGATTTCTGTTAAAATACTTGTCTCTTAACATATGCTATTGCATGCACTTTAGAAAATTTATTGGTTCGTATTTGATTTTATATGGGGATAAAAAAAAATCTAATAATACGCGTATAAATACTGTTAAAAATCAAAATTTCCTAGAAGAGAACAAAAAAAGAAAATAATAGAGACAATAATTTTAAGAATTTTTTTAAAGCCTTTAATGAAAATTAAATTTTTATTTGAAATTTATTGTATATGTACGATTATGTGAATGCAATTCAGCAGGAGGCAGGAACCTTGATTGGCTGATTAGAGTGGCTCAATGACTGAGAAAGACTCAATGAGCAATGATGAGCCGATTAATTGTTGTAAACACGCACTATCTTGTGAAAGGCGATTGTACTTTTGCACTACATTTGGATTACCAATCAGAGCCACACTGTCGTTTTAAAGAAGAAGTATCTCGTTTTTGGTAATCTCCCGATAACTGTATTAAAGTATACTATTAAACTATATAATTTTAAAACAAGAATTTACACGGCATGAATTCTCTCCACAAATTGTGATTTGAGGCATCGGGCATCAAAATATCTTGTTTTATTTATAAAATCACGTTTTCCTAGATGTCGCGCTTATAACTTTAGCTTTATGGTTTGTAATAGGAACTCAACTTTAAGATTATTATCGAAGAACCCGAACTTTATGCTATCACTTTTCGGGGCTAAGGTTAATTGATTCATTTTCGGTTGAAGAACTACTAAAATCATTTGACATAAAAACAAAAATATGTAATTTTTTTAGAGAGCTGCTGTAAAATATCATAAAGTGGGCAATTCACTCACGAGCCCCATAGACTACACACTTCTGGCGGTGAGATAATGTGTTATATAAATATGTATATACACTTGCATTAAATTTTATATTTATTTATACTTAATATTTCTTCTTGTTAATTAAGTCTTTTAAAGAAGTGATTGATGTGATTTTTATATATATATATTTATATGACTTAAAAATTTAAATAAAATAAATAAAATATTGGATAATGAAATGAATTGCAAATTGTTTATCCTATAACGTATATATAAGTATATGCGTTTCTAGACCTTTTTTTTTATATTACATAAAATAACTTCATGGAATATGAAGGGTGTATGAATTCATTTTTTCATTGGAAATTATTCTGGAAGGGATGAAATAAGAACTTAAATAGAAACTGATTCGATTATACACATTTTTATTCATATATATGTATGATTTCTCGAAATATATATGGGTTTATTTCATTTATTTTACTAATAAGTGTAAATAATTGAATATTTAAATCATTATTTAAGGTAATTTACATTGTTACGTGGGTAAGAAATTGAATTTAAAATTATAGGTATATTTATTATTATATATACTTTTATATATATACTATACAAATTTGCTTATATACCAAAATATATATATATATATATATATATATTATATAAAATATTCTTTTATGTTCTAAAAGATTTCCACGCCAATATAAGATGGGATTTTTTGTATAAAATATTTGTAGAATAAAATCAAGTCAAATCAAATAGGTCGTACTTTTCATAAAAACACATATACATACTACAATACACACACACAAATATATATATATGTGTATATATATCTATATATGTATATATATTTTTTTATACCTATATTAGAGAGGTTGATTTTTATTAAAATTTTAATGTTATTCGCGGTAAATGTGGTAAAAAAAAAGTTAAAATGTTTCATAGCTCTTTTTTTTGTTCTTTTAATTAAAATTGGATTTTATTGGGCTAAAAGTATAAAATAAACAAAATAAAAAATACAAAAAGACGAAAAAGGATTTATGCCATAGCTTATTAACTTATTATGGACCCATAGACCATTTTCTTATTTTTTTTATATAAAATCTTTACCAATATATAGGTACAGGATTTTTAACATTTTATTTTATAATAGAAACTTCATGCTGAGATTAAAATATATTTGTTGTTATAGTTGTATTTAAAATATATATTAAAAATGTATAATATAGGTAAATCTAAATATAATTAACACAAAAAAGAAAAAATTGTGGGAATAAAAAGGAATGGAATTAGTTAAAATTAAATTTAAAGGAGTAGAAAAGGAATGCGGTGCGGTTACCTATATATTAAAGCCTAATCTATAACGATTATGTAGATGCATAGAAAAAAAAAATAAAATTTAATTAAATTTATTTGAAATTTTTAATTAAATTAAAAAGAAGAATAATGAGGTTAACCGGTTTTATAAAATCAAAGATTTGTATAACGAGATTTTGCACATGCTTATATTTGATTACAAATGTAAGTGGTGAAGTTAAAATTAAAAAAAAAGAAAACTTGTTAAGAATAAAGAATGAAATTGGGAAAATTTAGAAACTTATATAGAATTGATTACACCTTCATATGCAATATTGAATCAATACAAAAAAAAGGGTGAAGGAAGCTGCACAATAATTATATGAGACGCTGATACTGAATAAGAATATAGATGACCGCTTGTCTTTACCTTAGCAGCAGTACCAGAAGACGGTCATAAACAAATTTTCTGAAGAAGGAAAGCGTTACAATTTGTCATTTCACACTGTTGACCATGGAAACTTTTCTTCATAGCTGGGTAGTTCTTTCGAGTTCTCTTCTTATGTGCTCGAGTGTTAGTTTTCACAGTCAGATTGGTTAACTCGTTGATGTTCCTTTTTTTTATATTGTGGCATTATGATTTCTTCTATTGGTGTTATCGAGCGACTAAAATCGAGAGGAGTCTTCAAGACTTGTACTAAGTTCGACATTGCTGACAAGAGAAAACTTCTGCTAGGCTGTTCTTTTGATGTGTTCCTTAACAACCGCTGTATGTGGTTCTTCAATAGAATTATCGATGGGGATTGTCCTGATTATTTCAAGGATAAAATAATTTGGGATAGATCTTTTTAGTCGTCAATGGTTGAAATTCCTTGCGCCATTCATGCCTCAAGAAGCATTTGTGTTTCTTTGTCAGGCTTGTGTATTAGAATTTTTTTTTTTTTTTGTATTTCTATGAATAACTTCTTACAATCTAGAATTTATAAAAATTTTTAATAAAAATAATAAAATTGAGTTTTTATCTTGAACTTTACAGTTAAGTGACCACACATATCATCTTTTATCAATGGAAAGTATTTTAACCATTAATCAAAAATATTTACTTGTATCGTATATTTCAAAACTATAAACATATTGTGTAGTATATAGAATATTCATTGATTTTAATACAAAAAAAAAAAACATAAAAGAAACAAGAGATATAAAAGCAAAAAATTTATTCATAATTCATATTTATTGAAAATATTTTATATTTTTCACATATATTTTCAGTAATATTCATAGATACATAGCACATACGAGTATGAATACATTCATAGTGTTACAAGTGAGTGTAATGTGTATTACGGGCATTAAAAGAGACAAGACACGCTATAATATTATGCATGTTGATAAATAATTGAAAAGAAACTTTGAATTTTGTTAGTATTTTTTTTGGACCTCACATAGAATATAGAAAATGGATAGTATAAATATACTAGGGTTCTCTGAACAAAATATCTAGTAAAAGATTTGCAAACAAACAATATTTGGATTTTAATTCCAAATTTATGGTTATTTCTGTGTTTCGAATTTAATAGTAGATAATTTTATAATTATAAGATTGAGGTAAGTTGAAATAGGAAAAATGCTCACTTATTATCTGAAAAAGCTTTCTACACTCCTTTTCCTTTGCTTATATTTTAATAACCTGTTGTTGTGTTTATTTTCACTTTAACATAAATTTATGTAAAACGAATTGTTAAATTGCGCTACATTGTTGATTTTTTTAATTATTCTTTAAATGCTAATATTATTCTGATACATTATAGAGTCACATTATATAATTGGGTGAGATTGTGGTTCATTGGTGCATATAATGTTGAACGTTCTTTATTACATTTGTAGCTGCTTTGTTTTCCTAATATTTTGGTGTTGAAGTTTTTAATCGTTATATTTGTTGCTGATTACATTTAAATCTTGGGTTTGTGTATGTGAAATTATTGTTGTTTACAAATGAAGCTGATATTATTCATCATGTAGGGTTACATTTGCATATTTAAAGTATTGACCGTATCGTTCATTAATTTGTTGCTTGTTTAATATAAAGTGTTTCTAATTAAATTGTTGCTGATTTTAAATATCGAATCACTATTCTACTTTTCTGTCGCTTACTATGTTTTGAAACTACATTTCTAATTTTATTGCGCCATTTTATTTATGTCAGCTGTGTTGTTAACAAGACTTTTTCACCATCAAGAGATCAATTTAAAAAATTTTAATAAAATATTTAATTTGTGCATTACATTATTAAAATAACTACATATTTGGATTTGTATTTTATTTCTTATTCATTGGATCAAATTTTGAAAGGAAAGCAGTTTAAGCAGGGGATTGGAGGACATGAATTTAAGAATAAATTGCATGAATTCCTTAGGAATACTTTGTATTTGAGTTTGTGCGTAAGTGCTTAGACTATATAACTGTTTGTTTTGGCTTGCATTTCTTTGTTGTCTTTTTTTAGGTTCCAGAATCAGTACAAGAATTGAACAAATAGGTCTTGTGAAAAATCTTTAATTTATTGAAAATTTTTTGGGGTAAGTCTATTTTTTTTATACATAAGTAGTATTCAACTGTATTGTTTGTGACAATAACCATATTACTAAAAAAAGAATAGATAGGTACCTGTGTTTTCAAAATGCGTTTATTCTGAATTTAAGTTTTGACCATTAGTAAGCATTTGACCTATGAAGTTGCTCAAGAACAGAAATCATAATAATTACAAGATCATTATTTAAAAAAACTATGATTTTGTTTATTAATCAACATGCAATTTTAAGAATCATTCATTCGTGTGATATTAGAAGGTTCATTCCTCTTTTTTGTCATTGAAGTTTAAAATTGATGTACATACATTCATGCTTATGTACAATATAATCAAAACTAAAGGGAATTTAAGTTTGTAGACGAAATGTTTGATTTTTCTTAAAAATCGTTTAAAGAACAACTCCAATCCACCTCTTATCAATAATGTTAAAGCAATAATTTCACATATGTTTCTTAAATTTACCAAAAACATTTAATATTTTATTTATCAATTGAAAATTATTATTGTGCTGTATTCTTTTTATTATACTTGAAGATTCAAACAATTCGTTTAATATTTGTATTCAATATTGGCCATTCTAAGGGGTTTGCTTTTATTTTTACAATATGTACATACATATACAAGGATTTGAGGTTTAACTTCTACATTTATGTACATATATTCATTATATGATGTGTGGACAAAGAAGATGTGTGGATATATTTATACATATAAATCATAAAATTTAATATATAAAATCGCAAAAAAATAAAAAAAGCACTGATTATTTACAAAGAAAAAATCTTTTTCCAAAATACTTTCTATATAGAAGTATGAAAGAAAAAAAAAATGTCATAATTTTATGAACTAAAAAGGATAACACAATGATGATTAGATCTCTTTTCAATTGATGATGTGGAAATTATATGAACCAATATTTTTTCTTATATCAATTTAGTGTAAATGTAGAGATACATATCAGATATGATGAGTCCATCCACCTCATTTATTTATTATAGCTTTTAAAAATAATCTATAATAATTTAGAAGAGTGATGAAATCACCCTTGTTTTTATGCTAAAAAAATTTATAGTTTTGTTAAAAAAATTTGTTTAAAAAAATATAGAACGATATTCAATGGTTTTTCTTTAGTTGTTATTATGATTTTTCTCATAAAAAAAAAAATAAAATGCTGATTATATCCTTTTCTTTTTAGTTAGTTTTCGAAAAAATTTATAATAGAATCTTCTCTTAGTTTTAGTTCATTTATTCATGTTTTCGTGTAATTAGCTGCTTTTTCAATTGTTGGTCTGTGTTTAATAACTTGCAAATAAATTTTTAATTTGAAATGAATTTTAAGATTTTTTCTGACTAATTTTCTTATAAATTTTATAATTTTAGGAGAAAACATCATTGTTCTACTCTAAGTTTAAGATTTGTTGAAATAACAGAATTAGAATTGATAACAGAAATAGTTGCTGATATTTTCTTTACAAGTCCGTTTCGCAGTTGATTATTTGTCTGAATAAAAAACGATAGGGTGAAATTCAGTTGGAGTAGAAAAAAAAATTTTTAAAAATTTTAAATTTTTGGCCATCCTTATATTTAAATTACACATTTACATTATTTATTAAAAGCTTTAGGCATAATATTTTCAAAGAAAAAAGTAAAATGTGCTTATCCTATTGTGAAACTGCCTGAAATTACTTAATTTTTTTTTTTTGGTTTCATGTATACGCATGAGATTGCTATTTTTAAGAATCGGTCAATTTGATTTTATAAAGTCATCTAAAAGATTGTTGACCAGTATATTTTTGTATTATTCATATAGTAAGTTTTAATTATTTTTTCAAAAAAATTGTTTTTCTTTTTTTTTTTGTTAAATCATTGTTACAATAATTATTTTTTTCCTTAAGTTATTCATATAATGTAATATACAATGCAATAAGTGTATAGAAATGATAGTGTTCAATATAAGATTAACACATGTTGAGATTTTTATAGGAGTTAGTATGTTTCATGTGATATAATAGGGTAGAGTAAAAGATTTAATTTTCGATTGCTTAAGTTTTATTAAATCTTAGTTTCATTGTTTTCGATAATATTCAAAAACATTTAGAAAGAATTATTATTATTCGATTAATTTGAAAATTTAAATTAAAGATCACTTTGTTAATCAATATTGCTTTTGAATTATTTGCATCCAGTTTTAGGTTTTGCACTAAATTTTTCATTTTGTGATCCATTTGGATTTTTGTCTCAGTTCTCTATACTTATCTTAAATTATGTATTCTGTAACTATATTGTGAATTTGGTTTAATTGTTCAATTATTTCTTATAAATCATTATTAATTATCATTCCAACTCCTTATTAATAACTGATACTTGCACATTCCCTAACTAAATCCAAAGTATATAGCACTCTCATTAGAATAAATATTACATAATATGAATAAGGTCGTAGATAGGCATTCTAGTTTGTATTGTTATATTTTTGTTATTTTAGTAATTATGTTATTTGTACTATTTTTTATAAAGGAAAATTTTTTTATTAAATTCTCACAAAAGCATAAAAAAATCAACAAAGTACAATAAAAATCAAAACATATTTTTTTTTCAATAGAAGTTTTTAAAAAGAAAAACTTATCAAAGTAATTTGTTTGCTAAAAAAGAGAAATATAAAAACAAAACAACAAAAATTATTTAATGTCTAATAATATAAAATAAGGATGCAAAAAAAAAGACAGGATAACAGAAGTCATATATCAATTCCAATAAAAATTTCTGAAGCAGAAAAGTTAATCTTTTTTTTTTTTTTTGTATGTCGTTTTATTAAAATGAATGCAATAAGTGTGGGGAGTATATGAATAACACTAATAATAAAAAAAGAACAAAAAAGGACTCATTTTCCAATTTCTCCCCTATATACATGCTCTTGTAAATCTGAACAATTCTTATGTTATTCATAGAGTCAAGAGTTTATTCGTAAATGTATACACTTCCACATATTATTTAATTCAACAATATTTAAAGTTGAAATCTAAACAATTTATTTTAATAGTTTGCAATTTAATGAATTCGAAAATTTTGTAGGAAGAAAAAAAAAAATTCAAATTTTTCTAATGGGCACTTTAATTTTATTAAAAATCACAATTTGTATATACATATACAAAATATAAAAAAATGACAAAATCTTAAGTAAATAAAATTGATTTTTGAATTTCAAGTAATGATTTCCTTTTTATATTTCCAAACGATAAATTCTCGTATTTTAAAATTACACAATCTCTGCTAGTAGCTATTTTGTCAACATTATTTTATAAAACATAATCGAATTTTGAAATTTCCTTTTTTTTTTTTTTTGAAAAATTTTTAAATTTATTAGTTTTTTCCCATTCTAGTATAATTTTTTTTAATTTGAAATTCAAGTTTAAAAAATTGAAATTTTCCGGAATTTAAAAATGAATCCTTATAAAAATGTTTTAACAATTTAAAAGCGACAAATTGAATACACAAGATTTGACCAAAATTGATGTGTGTATTTTTGTTTTCCTTCTTATTTTTTTTTTAAATTCACATATTAATCGTATAATCATTATACCATTTATTGGTTTATTTTTATTGAATTTAAAAAAGAAATAATCAATTTCATAATGTTTAAATAAATTATAAAATGGATTTTCTTTTAAATTTTTATGTATAGAAGGGATTTTTATAGAAAGAATAAAATTTAAATTTTTAAAAGGGTAAGCGTTAATAGTTAGTAAAATTTGTATAAATTTTAAATCCGAATTTTAAATCAAATTGTAAAATTGAAAATAGTTAAGAATATAAGCGTGAAGGAGGGGGTTTGCCAATACTTCTATATTCTACATGTAATGCATTTAACACGTGTAGATATGAGTATTTAGATTTTAAATTTAAAAATGTCCCCACTAGAATGCTAATATGGTAGTACAAAAAGTTAGTTCTTATATCACCATGTAATTTTTTATTCAAAAGGTAGGAATAGGCTACTTCTTATAATATTAAGTTATTTATTACAATTCACTTATTAAACTATATTATATGTGTTAACAACTTTTGCATTAGTTAACTATATTATTATTTAGTATTGAAATTTATATTAAATATTAAATTAAAATTAAAGGTTAATTTAAAATAATATTATTTTTAGAGTGGAACTTCAAACTTCTTAATTGTTGTACTAATAATGAGAGATTGAAAAAAAAAGAATATTGTTTTTATAATAAGAGTTTAGCACACGTAGCGGTGTTCGTAGGGATGTTACGAGAATATGATTTTATAATAAACGTAATTATTATTTAGAATATAATAGTGACATAACTCTCATTTTCTTATACTTTTCTTATTGATGGGTAATTTTTCATGGCTGTAACAGTATCAAAATGAATTATGCTGATGAAAATTGAGAAATACTTCAGGGATAGACCCTAAGATAGGGGTTACTATAGGGGGTGATAATGATTAAGATTTATTGATTAAGCTTTTACAGATTTCAAGATATTGCAGGTTAAAAATTTTCTAGATTAGTTAATGATTAATTTAATTTAGCTATTTAAAATTTTTTCAGTAAATTTTTATAAAAAGTATAAGAAGACAGAAATATTGTAGACAATTTTTTTTCATTCTTGCTTTTTAAATTTATAAAAATAAGTAAAACAAAAAACATATTCGAAAAATTTTTTACTTTTTCCAAAAATGTAAAAACGAAAAAATAACATGGAAAAACTCTAAATTCAAATTTAAATCTGGTTATTTATTGCACCCGGAAGGGTTATTACAAGTCTTGCCAGGGAAGAAGAATTATAACAAGCAGCAGAAGAAGAAGAAGAAGAAAATGAGGAAGAAGAGGAAGAATGATTCTATAATAATAATAATAAAGAATTATATTGAGCCTAAAATATGGAATAAAACATGAGGAAAGAGTTTTGGACGCACAAAATAAAAAAAATCGTTTTTTTATTTTATTTTTGGATTTTAAATTAT